CAAACACTTTCAACTACCTGTGTGTTAAAGAGTAAAAATTGAATTTCACAAACCACAGACAGGAGTGAAAAAAGTGAAGCATGGCTTAGTTTGGCATGGCTTGATTGGGGTTAAAAGGATCTGTTTTTAAGAACATCACAGATGAATCTTACCTCCTCTCGTACGGCAAAGATGGGTAGGAACTGTCTCTGTTCCCGTATGGATTTCCTCTTGGCGAACTCACTGCTGGCCTCAGACTTGTCCTGCATGTGGTCTGCAAAGGTCTGGTTGTGCTTGTAGTCAACATTCCCCTCTGGCCCTGCTGTGTCCTGTAGGATGGTTGAAATCTCAATTAGGAGAGGGAAAATATAGAAGGAACTAGAAAGGTAACATTTGCAAAGCAAAGTACACAGTGAGACTGTAATCATTCCACCTTCAAGATATAGCCTTGGAGAACTTGTAAAAAGGAATATATTTCCTACAGAGTAGCAGAAGTAAACTCAAAGTACCTTTTCTTCCTCTTTCTTCACCCCCATGATGTCCCCCATCTTGGTTCCTGCCAGTTCCCACTCCTTCTTCTGGGCCTTCTTTCGCTCCTTCTGTTCTCTGTGCTTCCTGACTGTCATGCTCCCCTTCCTTGCAATGATGGCCAGGTCAGAGGTCGCATCCTGTAACAGGACCAGGCATCAATATACAGATCACAATAAACCTGTTTCATGTTCAAAATGGTGTTACAGATGGAAGGAAACCTACTGGAAAAGGAATGTTGAAAAAGCATTTTGACTTAAAACAAATCACACACAAGAATCATCACTAATTCTGCAAACAAAAATTTTGATCTAAATGGCTCTTTTGACACTGATTCCTAATTACTAATTCTTTAAATTCCGGGAGAGGTACAAAGATGCTCATAATAATGCAAAGACGTACAAAGGTACAAAGACGCTCTGCCAATATGCTGCATATACTAGTATACTAGAAGTTACGACTGGAAAGTTGGAAAATAGAAAGGATTGTTGGTCCCCACACCTTGACAGGTATAACTGGTTCAGGTTGTTTGGTGAAGACCATGCGTCCGTCCAGGAATGGTGGCACGATGTTATGGACCAGCAGGTGAACTTTGCGCTGACTCTCTTCCTCAAAGTCCTCATCAAACTCAGTACGTTGTACGACACCGCTACGCAACATTCGCGACATCTCCCATCTTTCATTGTCCTAGACAAGAGACAGCAATGTTTACTTAAAAAACTTGGTACAAGCCATTAATTTACAGGTGTTCCTACAAATTGGTATTGGTACAAGGTGAGCATTACTCCAGGGCCAGAAATACTTTTCTCAGTGCAGGTTACATTGAAAATTACCTGCACCAGACAAGATTTGCCTGCACCACTTAGAGTGTAGGAAGTATGGATCATACTAAAAACTGTTCAGAAACCATTGACATTATTCATTTTATACTTCATAATCATAGGTAACGTTAGTAACAGTTAAAGCAACAGATAAATGTCCACATACATCTACATATGCCAATGTATAGATAAACCCAGACCAGTGCAGCTTAGGTGCAGATAGACCTGCACAGCTCCAATTTTACCTGTATATGCAGCTGGTATTTTGAGCCCTGTAATCCATAGCTTTACCTCATTGATCTGTTTCTTCTGTGCTGATATCCTCTTCACCACCTGCTTGGCTATCTTCTCCTCCTTCTTCTTGACATACTCCTCAGACATGCCTGACAGTGGGTTGTGTTGTTCATCATACCCCTCATCCATGCCGTACCAGTCACGGTCAAGTTGCTGGTGATAGCAAACAAGAGTCTGTCAATGTCTGCTTAGTCAAAGCTACTTCTGTAAGTTTCAAACCGTCTAAAGCCAATGTCACATGGTAAACACCTACAACAAGGAGCACAAAGCAGAGAAAAGTGCTAGAGAGTACCTTTTGCTCTTCTATCCACTGCATGCGCTCTTCCTCTGATGCAAATGAAATTTCTTCTTCATTTTTGCCCTCTCCTGAAAAGACAAACACAGATGATGACATCAATGCCATCATGAAGTACTTCATATCATATTTCATATACTTCAACCTTTAATAGCTGATTCTAAGGCCATGGTAAGTCAATGCAATTTTGTTTGTTTGTATCTGAGGGTGTTTGGGTTCGCATTCCTGTAGCAGATCTTTTGTCTGTACATGTCAAAACAAAATGTATCTGCATAGCCAGTATAACCGCCGTTCGGCGTAACACACCAGCTTCGCCGTCACTATTAGTATTACCTATGCTGCAAGTTGTATTAAGTATCTTATTTCATTGTTACATAAAAAACATCTTTGAAAGGTTTACCTCTCCCTTTAGAAATCCTTGGAGTGATGCCGATGTGTTTCCTGTCATCAGCCCAGTCGTTGTACTTGTGTGTAGGGGTGAAGAGTGGCGTCTCATCTACAGACTTTTTGTTGGGAGCTTTTCTGTAACATAGATCAGATTTCTTATTGTGTAGATACGTGTATTAGTCTTCATTTGATACAATATCTAGCAGTGAATGGAGGACTTGTATCAAACTATGCAAGACTACTTGACTACTTGTTTTGAGGGAAAAAAAATACACACATTTTAATCAATATAGTATACACACATATCTATCAACAGGACAACAGTCACTGAATAAAGTCTAAGTTTTGAATCTACCCATCAGCCATGAGAAGAACATCCATTACCTTCTCTCACTAGTATCATAGTCCCTGGTGGACCTGTGGCTGCGCTCACTGCGTATACTTCGGTCACCGTCCCGTGATCCCGTGGACGGAGTGGGCAGGTCCCAGGATGAGCCTCGTGATGGTGTTGACCTCAGGTCATCATCGTCCTCCCAGTTGGACCGTGACGGTGTGGCTGAACCTGGAGAAAGACAGCTTCATCTGAATCTGAACTACATAACCATCAAATAGCAAAGCATTGCATTTAGTGCCAGTTGTATACATTTACATGTGTTTGGTGTACAAGACTGTAAGTTACTGACCTGTGAATTAAAAATCCTCTTTTCAAAAAGTTGTACCGTGTATTGGTTCTTAAATAACATAAAGGTAGTGGCTATCCTCCAACATAAGATAGTCAGTTTATAATGTCTTCTCTCAAACTGAGAAAGATTGCTAACTAGGCCTGCTAGGGCAACCATGATTATAAAATACACAGAGAGATCACAATATGTACAGAGGTCTATGTACCCTTTGGTTTGTATCTGGGAGTCCCAGGTTCATCTCTCCAGCTTTTACTGCTGCGCTCAGACCAGTCTCTCCTACTTCGCTCTGACCCTCTCTCTGATCTCCTGTCTCGATCACCTGGAGAAGACAAATGTTACAGGATGTGTGAGCAAGGCAGGTACACTGCTAACACACTCAGGACATGACTTGCTACTACATGCTTAAAGAAATGGGGAAAGCTTGCATCATGAAAATAGTTATCATTTAAAACAATCCTTAAAAGAATGGTCACTTTTTCACAACAACCACAGACGAAAATGGCACAGAATAATAATTACTTTGGCAATCAAGATAAAAAAATGAACTTAGGTGACCATATACCTCTATATCTGTCTCTATTTCTATCTTTGTCTCTGTCCCTGTCTCTATCCCGTTCTCTTCTTCTTTCCTTTTCTTCCTTGGATGAAGCGTAGACTCCATGTTTTCTGTCTTCTCTTTCCTTCTGTCTTTTCTGCAGTTTTTCCCTCACTTCTTCACTGACACCTCCAGGGTGGGAGGGGGTTTCCACTCTGGCTGGACGATAGTGCCTGGATGGGAAACAAATAAAAGACATGCTATAAAATGATATATGAATGTTTTTAAACTAGTTGAGCGTGATATGCTATATCCTGAAGTATGATTTATAACATTTTCATTGTGCAAAGTAATTTTTAGATACATGTGCTGCTCTCTAATCCTGATATTGTTATTACAGAAATCGTGTGCATTAAATTTTACTAGTAACGTTACATGTCTTATTATTATTATTATTATTAATAATCAATGTGTACATATACTAGTAGTTGTTCTTTATCAAATACATTTGGATGTTTCTTACTTATCCTGGTCATAGCAGCAATATTTCACAGTATGTTGATAAGACCATAATTTATGCATAGGTGTTTTCTATACTTTTATGATTCAAGTTCAACACTGGCAACACAAAGCCGCTCAGACACCCACCTATCTTTTCTTGAGCCAAAACTATGCCTGTCCTCTTTTTCATCTTCTATATCTTCCTCGTCCCAGTCATCATTATAAGATGATGCCTTTGATCTCTTGGGTGTCTTCCCTTCCTCGCTCTCCTCCTTCTCCTTTCTCTTCTGAGCCGCTAACTTGTCCAGACCGAGAAGTGAGGTCCTTGGTGCGGGCGCCTTGAAGGTGTGTTTGTCGTCTGACGTAGAGGGGCCTTTCTTGATGATGAGGCCTCCGACCTCCTTACCATCCGATCCCTCCAAGCGATGAAGTGATGGATCATCGTCAAATTCCATGGCGATACGCCCAGGTCAAATGCGAAGGATGCTATGGAAGGAAAAGGATGCGTTACACAGCAGCTCTGTTGTTCTGTTGCACTTGCGACATGCCGCCCCCCTCCCACCCGATTATGGTTACTCAAAATCATACCGTAACGTGGAAAAATCACAAAAGAGTGAACAAGAATGTACTCAGGACACTAACGTACTTTGTTCCGGGGTTGTTGACGAGGTAAAGATGACGAATATACGGCACACTTGAACTAAATATTCAGAAAATCACAAATCTTGTGAAAGATCTGCGTTTCACTGACGATTCGTGTTGCATCCTGGGTAATAACCGCAATTATTCCATTGTGAGCAAAGGGGCGTAATCCTTGAAATATGTAGTATATTGTCGACTCATATCAACGAAAAAAACAGCTGAAAATTCAACTTATCATAATATACTGTGAGAAAAAATTGATTTTTAGGTCGCTGTATTGGCACTTATTTGTGGTATTTACTGTGCAATGATATATCATCTCCCCTTTTATCGAGTGTAATAGTCCCAATGCGGAAGCGCTAGATTTTGAGTTCCATCGGTTGACTCGCAGACAGGCACTGGTGATTTGTGCCAATAAGTCTCTACGGAAAGGCAAGTTAACTAGTTCCGTTGACTTCTTATGGCTACTTTTGTCGCTTGAATGCATTAAGATCAACTCAGGTTACCTTCTGTGCGTGGATTTTCCTGAAATACTCCCGAAGACTGGCGGGATCGGCGTAACGTTCAAACCTTCAAAATTTACAAAGTCATATGTTTTGCTGATTTTCTTGACATTTGTCTCGTTCCTATTACATGTACTAACCTTTCGTCTGGTATGTCGTCCCGATTGAGATTACTAGTATACCTGACAATTGATAAATATATAGATGACTCAAATAATCCATATGAATGTTTAGAAGTTCATCACTGTTCATGATATCTTTTTGACAGTGCTGCGTTATAGTCAAGATTGGCATGGCACAACCTACACGTGATGTCTCAGGATCGGGCGTTACAACTGACCTCTGTCTGATAGATGCCAACATCACCAGTCTCCTCAGTGTCCCACTGTCCCAGTCCATCCAAGTTCTCAACCTCCACTGCAACCAGATATCACAGATAGAGAACCTGCAGCACCTGGTTAACCTAAGACACCTGGATCTTTCGTCCAATCAAATCACAAGAATCGAAGGGCTCAGCTCATTGGTCAACTTAAGGACTTTGAATTTGGCTTGTAATCGTATCAGGGTGGTTGATGGTCTGCAAGGGCTAAGGTAAGTCTTGCATCAACATTATTATGATCATTAATTTTTGTACAAATTTCTGGTATATTCCCACTTCATGATAGTAGTGAAACAAAACTTCATTGATTTTTCTCATAATCTTTTTCCAGGTCTTTGTCTAGGGTCAACATATCCTACAACCAGGTGGAAGATCTGTCAGGGTTCAGACAGCTCAGTGGGAGTGGCTTCAGACTGAGTCACGTGGAGCTCCATGGCAACCAGCTAACATCCATCAATCATGTGGTGCAATGCCTTATGGGATGTACCCATCTCACAGACCTCACCCTAATGCATGATGGGAAGGGAAATCCAGTCTGTTCTGCAACAGGTATGAGCTTCAGACAGTGTGCTCATTGTAAACAGTCAAATAGGCAGATAAGCATAGGTTGGCAGTGTTCGAAATACCCGTCTGCAGTCTGCAATTTGCAGATAGATTTTCAAGATTGCAGAAGAAAAAATCTTACAATCTGCAATTTTGCAGAAGGAAAAAATAGGCTCCGGATTCAATAGTTTTCAATTAGCAAAGCAGTGGCGCTGTGAATAGATCGAAAACCTGCGCCGCACGAACCTGCCGGCGTTTTCCAGCAGACTGAAATGGTCCCATATAAGGGAATTTGGGGTCAAAGTTGAACGATTTCGACAAGGCGACTTTCTGACGAAAGGCGACGATAACCAAATATGGGCACTCGCCATTTTCCGATGTTAGATTTCGTCTCCCGGGAGGACCCGACAACTGCCTCGGCAATTTTCGGCAGTTTTCGCTGAGCATTTCCCAGCAGGCAACACGGCAAAGGAAACATGGCTCCTCCGAAAAACCACACTCGCCTCGGCGTTAATTTGCTGAAATTTCGATGTTTTTCCTTGGTATTTTGCACGATTCAAGCAAAGAAAACAAGTTGATCACATGAACAAAAGAGAAATACAGCACTGGGAACCTAACGGTCCGTTTTGTTGGGCGGTAATTTCTCATTTCGAGTGAAAATTTACGTGCATCACATTGTGACCATATGTTGTAAAATCAGTGATTTTCGGCTCGATCCGAACCAAGCACGGCCCGTAGACTTGTCCTTTATGATTTCTAGATGACTATCGGTACCAAAATACGGGAAAATATTGTTGCAAAATGAGAGACGGAGACTAAGGTAAACTTCTTTTATTTGAAGGCTGGATTTTTTGTATGTTGTATGTAGTGATCATCAGTTATTCAGTAACAACAAATATGGATTTTTGTTCCGGTCAAAAAAACCGGTCCACCGACGTATCGGTTTTTTTGGACCGGATCGATAAAATTTTACGGTCCGAACATATTTAAAAGAGTGATATTTTGAAGAATTTTAGTAATGCTACAGATTTACAAAGCTATACCGTTATATATATTATATATGGTGTAAAATAGGCATTATTGGTTTCAGAAGGTTGTAATATGGGGGCTTGTGTATTTGCAGAAAGTATTTCCAAATTGCAGGACGAAATTTTGACTCTTCTGCAATATTGCAGAGCACTGAAAAAAAGTATTTCGACCACTGGTTGGTGTGGAAGATAGTGACTTTTCTGTCATATGCCCTGCTTGGAGTAGCGACAGAAAC